TATTTTTATTATGGTTCAAGCTAGATGGGATAAAGAGTACTTACACGTTCACGTATGTCATAATCCAAAATATGTTTTTACATAACGAGTAATACGATATCGTATGTGACGATTCGAGTCCATGTTTTTGCATGCTCATCAATTATAATTTAGAATTAAATGGCCAGGTTCTAGGTATATCGTATGATAATTGTTCAATTGCAGGATCGCCACTATATCGTATGATATATTGTTCAATTTAAAAATATTTATTTCTTGTTTGAAAGTTTGTTATTGAATCAAGGCATGGTACAATAAAAACAGGTAGAAGCCAAATTGACATCAAACCTACAAAAGTCAAAGTTTTTGGGAGAGTAAAAATAAAAATGAGCGTGTGTAAGGAAAAATAAAAAAGTACATTTCGCTGGTTGACTTTTTTGAGGAAATTTGAAGTTTTGTTTCTATTTATTTATTTTTTTAGTTAAAATTTGTTAATTTGTATGTTGTTTTATGTTTTTAATTTATGAGTTGCAGTGTTGTTGGAGGGACTTTCCGGCATAAGGGTCATAGGAACAGCACTTGGCATCAAACGTGCCTTTCCTGTACCTCCCGGTGCATTTATGAAATCTGCTGCTTTAAAATGTTTAACGCACAGCAAGGCATTTCGCTGCAGCTCTGGCCCACAGCTGCTTTCGCAACGCTCTTTAGGCGAAGGACATTGAGTTAAATGGTATCTGCTTCATATTTAACACCACATAAAAGACAACGCTTCGGTGTTGCATTTTTAACACATACATTAAGTATAAACTGCACAACACTACAAAAATTCAAATGTTAATTAAAATTTGTTAACATTTGAATTTTTGTAGTGTTGTGCGGTTTATACTTAGTGTATGTGTTAAAACTGCAACACCTGAAGCGTTATTTTTGATGTGGTGTTAAATATAAGGCATATACAACTAATTTTTTTAACGTGATTCAATGTCCTTCGCGTATGGAGCTTTGCGAAAGCAACTGTGGGGCAGAGCTTCAGCGAAATGCCTTGCTGTGCGTTAAACATTTTAAAGGAGCAGATTTCACAAATACATCGGGAGG